TTTCATATGTGCAGGTAGGCACGTATGGGATGCTTGCAAAAAGATAACTTATGTCAAGCCTTTTTTAAATAATGTATTTTCCCTTCCAGTTAAACAACTAAGATTGAGGATTTTACTTCTCCATGTGTTCATTTGTAGTTTAATGTGATTTTAGAACACAAGATGTTGGTGGTCATTGTTATTACAGTGTTAACATAAGTTCAGATTAATTGTGCAGTGGTAAGTCATTGAAAAACGTAAGTCTTAAACAAGTCATTATTACCATAAGCCTTTGTTTCACTAGATCTCTTCAGTCTTCTAATGACTAAATATTAATTTAACTAATAGAAATAACAAGAAATTCTTAAGCTGGAATAACTGAAGGGGAGGGGGGCAATCCTTAAATGTCTGATTGTTCTGTTTTTTTTGTAATTGATTCATTTTGAATGCCAAAACCACACTTTATTTTCAGGGCTATTTGCCCAAGAAGATGGTAAAGTAAAGCTTGAAAAATTTTAGAGGCGCATGCATAGATTATTGGAAGTGATTTTGTTTGTGAATCTCTAATTAGCATAAATTCATCTCTGGCTCAGTGAAAAGCTGGTCTATTAAATGTTCAGAGGTTGCAAGTAGACAGGAAGAAAGATGTAGGAAGGTCAGACAATGTGTGACAGGCAGGTCTTATGAGCAAATGCAGTTTGTGAAGCCAGCTGCTGATATCGTTCTCTAATTCATAATCTTCATTGTCATCTCTAAATAGACCATAGACTAATCTACTTGTTGACTTGACTGCACTTTTCTCTGTTTGTTTGAATGAATGAATAATGAATTTCCTTGCTTACATTGGGCTATTCCTGTATCTGTAATTATTCAAAAATATCCAATTTTTGCAATTTGAATAACTGGGAAATGTCCAAGAATCCTTCAGTATAGAGTTCAGTCTAGAAACAAGATAGTGCCTGTGAGCTTCTCACAATGAAATGCAGGAATTTCTATTAGCCAGAAAATACGGGAATCCATTTTACTCCTAAGATAGTTTTGTGAACCAAAGGAAAGCTAAAGATTATACCTTTCGTAGTAAATCTGATAATAAAGCCAAAGATCAGGCCACATTTCCTGATTTCTGAAGAGATCTATCTTTCTTTCCAGCCACAGAGTAGAACAGTTATTATATTTCTATCCACTAAAATCAGAATAACAAATACTTCTGTTCTAAAACAGTTTTGGTCTTGACCTTTCTTTCTGCTAAAAATAAAGAGCAATAGATAAAAATATATTGATGTGTAATAAAGGCAGGAGGCGTGCGTGTGTATGTGTGTGTGTGTGTGTACACATATTACACACACAGGCACATCCATACTTGAGAAACACAGATCTAGAGACTAAGGCTGAGCAATAGCTGATTTGACAACTTTGGTTCAACTCTAATATCTTCCTGTTATTATAGGCAGTGGCCTAATCAGCAAATGGAGTCAGATTCTGGCATTTTAAGATATCCCTAACATTTTGTCTTTCCTTTCCAGGCTGCTCCAGGCAGATTGGCTTCTACTTTGTGAAACCTAAGCTGTGTTCATTCACTGGCCTCTATTTCTGTGACAATTGCCACCAAGATGAAGAGTCTGTGATACCTTCACGTCTAATTCATAACTGGGATCTTTCCAGATATCCGGTACGCCCAGTTATGGTGGGAGGGGACATAGAGTATATAAGCTCTGTTTGTGAAATTGTCTCTTTTAAATCCCAGCTGCATAACTATAGTCACAAAATGACTGTTGTTTTCATTATGAAAGAGAGAAGCTTGAGAGTATCTGTAAGGATCTCCTTCCTTTGTGTCGTACCTGCATTGCAAGTTAGCTCAGATAGGTGCAGGTTTTAAAAAGCAGATTAGCAAAATTTGACCTCCCTTCCTCCCTCTGAGTGTTTCTCCTCCTTAACAAGTGGATTCCCCAGTGCTGGCTGGGGAATTTGGGAAATCAGAATATACACATTTTAAATTTGTTGAGGTTGAGAAACACTGATTTAGCTTAAGATGTCAAGGACCATAAAGTATGAAGTCTATGAGCAAGGTAGTATTCTGATTAGGATTTTTCAATTTGCGAGCTGCTACTGTTTTTTTTAATATACATTCTGTTGTATACTGGGATTGGTGAAGCATTGAGTAGTCGGAAGGTTAACAACTCTTTATTTGAATCAACACAGAAGCGATTCTAACAACCGCTTGGCTTCTATTTATATTGGACTGCTGCTAGGTGGCAGCCAATGAATTTAAAGCACTATTTGCCACCTCAAATGCTGGCTTGTAACAATACACAAACGGTTAGAGACTTGTTTAAACATAATCATTTAACTGCTTTATAACTGCCATTGTAAAATGGTTCAATACACAACACCCCTTCCCCCTAGGTAATCACATATCACAATAATGTATATAGTCTTGTAAGTAGGCAGGCGGATATTGCGCCTGCCCCAATCGTTGTAGTGCCGTTGGAGGCTCCCGGTCTACCAGTCCCTTTGATAAGCCGGGTATATCAGGGTTCCTAGAGCTGCTCGCCTTGGGTAGACTGGTGCCTTCCTGGACGTTCTGGCTGGGTAGACCGGTGCCTCTCGGGATGTCCTGGCTGGATAGACTGGTGCTTGCATCACCCATTGACAGTCTGGGAAACAAGTCCGTCAACAAATCTCTTTCTGTTGACATAGTCTCTGAAGTTTGTGGTGACTCGGACACGCGTAAGTCACCTTGCCTCTCCCTGTGAGTCTCACAAGAATCGGGACTCAGGTGTGTTGCAGTCACCTGGCACTCGCCGGTTCTCCTCACTGTCAGCGGTCAGGGTTTGATTAGCCTGCTGCTGTTGCAATTGGTTGATGTGGCACCGAACCACATGACCATCTTCCAGGGCCACCTCATACAACTGTGGCCCCGATACCTTACAAACCACAGCTACCACCCATGGTGCCCCTTGACCATAGTTCCTCGCCCAAACTTTGTCACCGATTTGCTGATTGTGTGGGGGGCTTGGGTTGTGCTATTTCTGCAGCTGCCCGGTCTGGATGGAGGCGGTCCAGCTTCATGGTTAGCCAGTGTTCCCATCTCAGGCCCATTGAAGTGCATGGAATTGTGTGTTGGCAGAGCAAAAAGTCTCCCTGCCGATGATGCCAATCACCAGTCGTTGTTCTTTTTAGCGCTTCTTTGGTCGTCCTGACCATACGTTCTGCTTGACCATTAGAAGCCGGGTGAAAAGGGGCAGAGGTAGCATGTGTAATCATGTTAGTCCATAAGAAAGACTGAAACTCAGCAGCAGCGAATTGTGTCCCGTTATCGGACACAATCACATCATGCGTGGCAAAGATTCTGCGCAGTTCCTGTATGGTCCTGCCAGTAGTCATATTAGGGACAGGTGCTACCTCAAGCCATTTAGAGTAACTGTCCACTACAATGAGGAACACCTGTCCTTGGAAAGGTCCTGCAAAGTCTATATGAATTCTAGACCAGGGAGTTTGCGTGGTCTCCCAGTGATGTACTGGGGTTTGAGGCATTTCAGGTCTGATCTGCTGGCAAACCTGGCATCCTTTTACTTGAGCCTCTATATCCTTATCCAACCCTGGCCACCACAGGTAGCTTCTCGTGAGTGCATTCATCCTGACTATTCCAGGATGTCCCTCATGCAGAGATTCTAAGATCCTTGCTCTTAATTTGTGTGGGACTATAACCCGACTTCCCCATAGAAGGCAGCCCTTGTAAGCTGATAGCTCATCTTATCTTCCGATGAAGCTGTGAAATTCTGTCCCAGGACTGACTTCAGGCCACCCCCTCAGCACCCAGTTCAAAATACGACTGAGTGTTTTGTCAGTGGCTGTTTCAGCAGCCACATCCCCAGCGTGAAGGGGAGACTCTGGCAGATCCTGGATTGCCAGGATACGTGCAGCAAGTGCAGGGTCTGGCTCTGATTTGGCAGGGGCAGCCTGCTGAGTGCATCAGCGTGGCCCATTTCCTTGCCAGGCTTATGGACTAGCCTGTAATTGTAGGCTGTCATAAAAATTGACCATCTCAGCATTCTAGAGGAAAGGATCTGAGGGGTTTGCTTGTCTGCAGTAAACAGACCTAGAAGAGGCTTGTGGTCTGTAAAGACCATAAATGGGCGACCATAAAGGAAATCGTGGATTTTTTTTATTCCAGCTACTATTGCTAATGCTTCCTTGTCAATTTGTGCGCAATTTCTTTCCGCAGGGGAAAGTGTCCTTGAATAATAAGGGACCATAAAGTATGAAATCTATGGGCAAGGTAGCATTCTGATTAGGATTTTTCAATTTGTGAACTGCTACTGTATGTATGTATGTATGTATGTATGTATGTATGTATGTATGTATGTGTGTATATATATATTTGTTTTCTGAGGTTTTCGCGGGTATTTGTATGTAGGTCTTTGGTTGTTCGGGTAGTATATGTCCAACACATACTTCATCTATAATGGACAAAAATACAAACAAATAGAAGGAGCACCCATGGGATCACCCCTCTCACCTGTCATTGCCAACCTCTACATGGAACACTTTGAAACCCAAGCTCTAGAAAAATCGGATCACAAACCCAAACTCTGGCTCAGATACGTAGACGACACCTTCATAATCTGGCCACATGGGAAAGAAAAACTGGACAACTTCCTCACACACTCAACAGCCTACACCCCAAAATACAGTTCACCATGGAAACAGAAGCTAACAACCAACTTCCCTTCCTGGATGTTTTAGTCTACAAGAAATCCAATGGCTCCCTAGGACACACCATCTACCAGAAGAAAACACACACAAACCGCTACCTGCACGCTCTCTCACACCACCACCCAGCACAGATCAACTCTAGCCAAGACACTCATCTCCAGAACAAAACGCTTAGCTGACGAACAACACCTAAAACCCGAACTACACACTCTCACCAATGTACTAACATCCAATGGATTCCATAGAAATAAGATTACAAACCTAATCCAAAAAGAAACCCCCACTAAAATCCAAGACAAAGAACAAGAAAACGGCAAAGCCCTCCTCCCATACATAAAAGGCACCACAGACAGAATCAGTAAGATCCTCCATAAACACAACATCAAAACAGCATTCTGCACAAACAGAAAAATATCCACCATCCTTAGAAACCCCAAAGATAAAATTGAATTAGAAAATCAAGGAGTATACGAAATCCCATGCACCACTTGTCCCACCACATACATCGGACAAACCAACAGAAGAATAAGTGCACGCATTGAAGAACATAAGAACTCAGTCAAAAAAGAGGAACCAACATCTTCCCTGGTCCAACACCTTAAAGCCACAGGACATGAAATTGACTTTAAAAATACCAGAACCATTGCCAAAAGTGAACATTTTAATAACAGAATAATCAGAGAAGCCATCGAGATAGAAAAACGCCTACACAGCATGAACAAGCGAAGTTGGTTTACCTGAAATCAAGAAATATGGGTCAAGTAAAAAGTATCTTGTGACACAACGGCTTGATGAAAGCAAGGATTGGGAGGAGAGGCACACAATAAAAGCAGAACGAAGGAAAAAGCCTAAAGAGATCAGCTTGTGTGCAGAAATGAGCACAAGAGCGAGAAATGGAGCAAGAGGTTTTATTTTATATTGTATAAAACTCCTGGGATACTGTGGAGAACAAATTTTAATATACTAATGATGTTGTTCTTTGAAGGCTTGACCACCGGCACTATCTCCTGGAATGTCCCCATAAATACAGTGTGGCTGACCTGAGGCAGGTAGGAAATCTGGAAAAAAGAAATGTTTCAATCTAGAGGCAGGTAGAATTTCAGTTCAAGAAAATATTACCATTCCTTCATCCTCTAAGCTGGATTCCCCCAAATCACAGCCTAGCAGACTTCCCTACAAATTATTTGACACACCATGAATTGTTGCATCACTCAGTGTAGAGCAGGAAGCAAGAAACTTTTCAGAGTTGGTCTGTGCATGTTCAGATGCAATCTTTTCCTCTGAAGAGTATAGCAGATAGACAGCTAAGCTCTCCAGGAATTCTCTGGCCCATTTGCTTCTGCTTACCAATTTTTTTCCCCTAGTACTGTATGTTGCAAAATTTTTGTTACCTGCACTGGATCTGCATTAACAGCTGCTGAAACGGTTTTAAAAATAAGTATGCACAAAATGGAAAATCTAAGTTGTTACAATTTTAGAACAATTTGCTGTGTTCTAGAAGTTCTGCCAAGCCATTTTGGATCAGCTTCAGTTCAGCAAAAACAAAACCCAGAGTATTTGTTTTAGTTGTTTGAGGGGTTTTAGGAGTTCCTGCAGATTTTATTCCACTAGTTGTTGCCCACTATAGGGGGCACTGTTCATGTCTGTTTCTAGCCGTTAAACCAGCACTGTCCGAAGATGTTGCCGCAGTCTTGTGGCTAGCTTGACATCACAGAGCTGTGTTACCTTCCCATCAAATGTAAACCTATTTACTCACATTTGCATGCTTTCGATCTTCTAGGTTGGCAAGGAACTGGAGCGAGCATGGGGGCTCACCCCATGACATGGCACTCAGGTCTTGAACCTGGGTTGCCGGCTTTCCTGCCGACAAGCCCAGTGTCGTAACCACTGAGCCACTGCACCGCCCTCCAAAGCAATTGGAGGGTTTGGATGAAATAAAATCTGAAGAGATGCCAGATTCTTTTTACAGGGCAAGAAGGATGCATTCACTCCTTTTTTTCCTTTGTTAATTTTCTGTATAGTATGTCGCATACCCTCAACCCCTCTCATCTTTCCAGCACCTTCCCTAGCCTGCCTTCCCTACTGCTGCTGGAAGTGTCCCAAGTTCCGCATGTCCCATTAATCTCCCCATTCCAGGTCTAGGACAATTCGCCGTGGCCATGTCACTACAGCCAACTCACTGCGGAACAATTTGCTGGGGGACAATTCCATGCGGATAACTCAACGCCTTGCTTCTACCTGGCAAGCCTTCCCGGTTTCTTTGCATGGAAAAGAGGCTTGGAGAATTTGGTCCTCCTTTTCATGGAAGCCCCCAGCCCTGGGAGCATTGTGCATCTGGAGGGGGGTATCAAGACCCAGAGGCCATCCCAACCTTGGAACCCCCCTCGTCTATGGCCTATCAGATCAACCTGAGAGCCTTGGCCATGCTGAGGCTGTGGGAAAGCATTGAACCTCTTCCTCCTCCACTCTGAGTAGGTCAGTCCCTGGATCCAGGGTTACCCCATCTTCCCCCAATGCAATCTGGCTCAGAGAGGTGATGCCAGAGCCAATAAACTGCCACCACTGTCTAGATGGGTAAATTAATCAAGAATTGCATCCTGCCCAAGCGCTCCCTGGGCATTGAGCTTTGCCCACCTGGCTACGCTGCCCTTGCTCCCTGCCAACACTGGATCTCCCTTCCCCAGAGCCTGCGGAACTCCTAGCTACCAGTAGTAAAGGAGACCAGGAGGGGATGGATCTGCACACACACACCCAAGTCCAACTCTGTCCATCCAGACACTCCTTGCCTAGCTGAAAAAGAAGGCATTGCTCTGCCAATTCTGTGAGGTAGCTTGGGGGAATCAACTGATGAAATCCATCTGGCACCAGCAGGGAGTGAGGGCAGTATAGCTGATTGGGGTGTGTGAAGTGCAATTTCTGGGGAATGCTCGCTAGAGGGCTCGATCCTTGATTAATTTGCCCATTTAGCTACTGACGGCAGCAGCACTTTATCATCTCTGGCATCACCTCTCCAAGCCAGATCACAGCGGAGGAAGATGGGGGTCCCCCTGGATCAAGAGATTGACTTGACTTACAGCAGAGGAGAAGAAGGCTTGGTCCTTTCCCACAGCCTCAGCATGGCCAGGGTTCTCCGGGTGATCTGGTAGGGCAGGGGCAAGGATTCCAAGGCAGACATAGCCCTGGGATTTCGACAACCGCTCTCCAGGGGCAAAATGCCCATGGTGCTAGGAACCTCCATGAAAAGGAGGACCAAATTCCTTAAGCCTCCTTTTCCATGCAAAAAAACCCTGGAGGGCTTGCCAAACCGAAGCAAGGCATTGAGTTATCCCATGTGGAACTATCCTAAGATGAGTTTCCTGTGCGAGTTGTCCTGCAGCAACTTGGCCGGGGCAACATGGCCACAGCGAGTTGTATCATTCCGACCCACTCCTACTATCTTCCCCCATGATCCTTCATGTGCTTTCTCTTACCTCCCTCATCTTGGCTATCTTTGCTAATGTAACTTATTTCTCCATCTGTTTCTTATCCTACCATGGCATATCTTGCCACTCACTCCCTGATCTTTTCAACACCATCACTTCCCTGCCAGCCATCAGCTGCTGCCTGTGTCCATTCCATAATCCTTACCTAACCTCCTCTGAACTACTTCTACCAAGACACGCCATGCACAATATATTACAAGCAAGTTGGTTTAAATTCATGCATAAGCCAAAACATATGAAACACAACCTATTCTGATTTTGACATGGACCAGCCAAAACCAGCTGTTTCATGCCTTCAAATGTTTTAAATCAGACTGGCATCATAAGGGCCTTGGCCATTTTTTGCTGAATGACATGTGAATTTTGAGAATTCCTGTGACAGCAGAAGTGGTTTCCCTGCTCCTTACCAACTGCTCATGGCCCTTCTCTCCTCTTAGATAGCAGATGGTATATTTGAAACTTTTCTTCAGTCGCTGATCCAATTTGCCTCCCACCATGTGTATAGTTGTGATCTTTGTACTCAGAGGGGCTTCATCTGCCAAATATGCAACAAGAATGACATCATCTTTCCCTTTGAATTTGATACAACCAGCAGGTAAGTTTTACACATGTCCTTTCCTCTAGAACTGAATACACATTTTAAAGAAACTAAAATAAAATTAGTATATATAGTATTCAGTATATATTGACCATATCTTGGAACTTGCTGTGATAGCACATCAGGAAACTGAGTTATTTGTGGCACTATTCTCTCCCTTAGGACAGTGGCCCATGACAGTCCCTAAAGACAGCTGCCTGTCCCACTTTGCTCTAATATGATAGGCAGACTTGGGGTCCCCTGATAGGAGCTAGATTGCATTCCTTCTCAGTAGCAGTGCCTTGGGATGATCTTACCCCCCCCCCCACATACACAAAGGATGCTAAGTTGGCCCGGATCCTACTGGCCTTTAGGAAAATTTTAAAAACATGGTCATATCCCCAAGCATTGGACCACGGTGTGTAAGTTCCCACCGGAAGAGGGTACAAACGTTAGCCAAGTTGCCTGTTACCTATTATTGTTGTTCATTGTAGTTTTATTTTGGTTCTTTCTTTTTTTTAATAAGCTGACCACAATGGCATTTCCAGGTTGGTTGGGCATATATATTTGTAAATAAATAAATAAGTCCATCCTTTCATTCATTTACATAGCATAGTCAGAACTAGAACTAGATCAGGTAAGAGTCAAGATAATTAATTGAATGTTAATGAAATCCTTAAATCCTTATCATAATGATAAGTAACAGAATGCTTATAAACATATAAATGTCCTTCTTAGAAAACATTTATTTGTTCGAGTCGGGGGTCAGGCCCTTTGACTGAGAGATTACTGAGAGGATACAAAAAATTAAAATAATAGCCTTAGCTCACCATGTATTTTTTTTTTTTTTTTTTTTTTTTTTATTGAAATTTTTCAAAAGTTTTACAAATAAAAATCCACCCCCCCCTCCCCAACCACCCCACCCCCCCCCGACTTCCCAGAACTGAATATAGGATTATTTAACAAATATTTTAAAAATAACATTTGCAATTTATAAAATAATTAATAATAATAATAAAAATCACAGTAATAATATATATAATAATAATATACATAACATAAACTTTAAAATGAATAATATATACTAAAAAAGAAAAAAATAAAAAATAAAAAGAGAAGAGAGAGAGAGAAAGAAGAAAGAAGAAAGTAGACGAAAAATAAAGCATATATATATATAAAAAAAAAATATATGAATAATAATACATTAAAAATGTATATATATAAAAAAGAAAAAGAAGAAAGAAAGAAAGAAAAAACAATCATTACAAATTATAAAAAGGCTAAATAATATTTTTCCATATCCAAATTATGTTGTATAAAATTTATCCATTTTTCCCATACCGCAAAAAATTTTTCTTGAGATTGCTCCTTTAAGAAAGCCGAAATCTTTGCCATTTCTGCCAAATACGAAACTTTATGAAACCATTCTTGTAAAGTAGGCAAAGATTCCTTCTTCCAATATTGTCCTATTAACAACCTAGCGGCTGTAATCAAATTTAACATCAATATAACCTCCTTAGCATCACAGTCAATAACAATACCTAGTAAAAATAATTGCGGAGTAAATTTTACCCTCCTTTTAAAAATTCTTTGAATATTCCACCATATCTTAATCCAAAAAGCTTTTATATGCTTACACGTCCACCAAATATGGTAATAGGTAGCATCCAAATATCCACATCTCCAGCATTTCGGCTGTAGATTAGGGTACATAATGGACATTTTCTTTGGGTCAAGGTGCCATCTATAAAACATCTTATAAAAATTCTCTCTTAAATTTTGCGCTTGTGTGAATTTAACATTTCTTATCCAAATAAGTTCCCAAGTATCCATTGAAATCGTTTCACCAATATTCTGTGCCCATTTAATCATACAATCTTTAACTAGTTCAAGTTCTGAATCTAATTCCACTAAAACCCCATAAACTCTCTTAATATGGGTTGGCCTTTGATCTCTTACTTGTTTTAAAAAAATTCCATCTTCTCTAAGCCAGCCCATTTTACAATCCATCTTCCATCTATCCACTATTTGTCTATATTGGAACCATGAATAAGTTAAGTTTTCATGTGTTAATTCTTCCAAAGATTTTAACTGCCAGTCTTGGCCATCCCATCTTAATAACTGTACGTAAGAGACCTTGTCCATATTTACCCCTTTCCTTATACCTTCTATGGCATGCCGAGGTATAGCCCATAATGGTATTTTGAAGTCACTTTTATAATACTTTCTCCACACTCTTAGCAAAGAGTTTCTTATAATATGAGACTTAAAAACCAATCCACTTTTTTATTAAATATTAAATAGGCATGCCATCCAAAAAATAGGTCCCAGCCTTCCAAATGAAGTATTTCTGTATTTGTTAAATTCACCCAGTCGCTAATCAATGTCAATACTACAGCATCATAATACAATTTCATATTTGGTACCTTGAGTCCACCTCTCTCACGAAAATCTTGCATTATTTTAAGTTTCACCCTTGGTTTTTTCCCTGCCCAAACAAATTTATTAATACCTTTTTGCCATTCATCTAAATTACGTTCGTTCTTTAAGATAGGTAACATTTGGAACAAAAAAATAAACTTTGGCAGGACATTCATTTTAATAACTGCAATTCTGCCCATAAGGGATAACTGTAAATTATTCCAGTTTTTTAAATCCTTCTGTACCTCCATCCACAGCTTTTCATATTATTTTTATACAATTTTACATTAGAAGCAGATAATGTAACCCCCAAATATTTTACCTTATCAACAATTTCAAAGTCTGTTAAGTTAACTAGAGCCTGTTTATCACCATTAGTCATGTTTTTAGCTAATATTTTGGTCTTATTATTATTAATTTTAAAGCCAGAAACACGTCCATATTGTTGAATCAATTGTAATAATTTCACCACCGAAGAAACAGGTTGAGACAAAGTAACAACCAAGTCATCTGCAAAGGCTCTTAATTTATATTCTTTTTTATTAATTTCTATTCCTTTTATTTCTTGAGACTCCCGAATTTTAATCAACAAAATTTCCAGTGTTAAAACAAACAATAACGGAGACAACGGGCATCCCTGTCTTGTTCCTTTTTCTATTACAAAAGCCTCTGACAAACCCCCATTTACAATAATTTGAGCAGTCTGTTTTTGATATATATTGGATAATACTTGTAATATATTTTGTCCAAAATTCATCTCCTTGATTAAACACAGCATAAACTGCCAATTCACTTGATCTTTTTCAGCATCCAAAAATATCAAGCCTGCAGAGACTTGGTTATTCTTTTCTAAATACTCTAATAAATTAATAATTTGTCTAACGTTATTCTTCATATACCTTCCAGTTATAAAACCCGATTGATCCCTATGTATAAACTGCTGCAAGATCCCCATAAGCCTGTTAGCTAAAATTTTTGCAAAAATTTTATAATCCACATTTAAAAGAGATATAGGCCTATAATTTTTAGGCAAAGTAAGATCTTGACTATCTTTTGGAATCAATGATATAAATGCATTACGCCAGGATGGAGGGATCTCTAACCCCTGTAATAAATTATTAAACAGTTCACACAACGGTTGGATCATCTCTTCTACTAAAGCTTTATAATAAATAGATGTCAACCCATCCGTACCCGGCGCTTTGCCCAATTTCAATTGTTTAATAGCTGTAACAATTTCTTCCTTAGTAATTAAACCGTTAATCTTTTTTTCCTGATCTTCTGTTAATTTAGGAAAGTTGACTTTGCCTAAATAATTATTTATATCTGTAATTTGAATATTGGTACCCTTATATAATTTTTGATAGTATTCTAAAAAAGATTTCTTAATCAATTCTTTCTGATAAACCAATTTACCATTATAATTTATTTTATCTATATTCCTCTGTTTCTGTTTTTTTCTTAACTGATAAGCCAACCATCTCCCTGGTTTATTAGCATTACAAAATGTATTTTGTTTCATAAATAGCAAATTAGTTGCAGCTTGATCAGCCATCAGCATGTTAAATTGTGTTTTTAACAATTTTAAAGCTCCTTTAATCTTTTCATCTAAGGGATTTGAAATTAAAAGTTTCTCTTTTAATTTAATCTCCTCTTCCAAGTCTTTCCGTTTCTGAATCTGTTTCTGTCTATGCAAATTATTCATTTTTATCAAAATACCACGCATAAAAGCTTTACTTGCATCCCAGACCATTGACATTGATGTTCCCTTGTTCATATTTAAAGTAAAATATTCCTTTAAACATTCCTTTAATTTATGAACATTTTTTTCTTGTTTAAATAAATTCTCATTCACCCTCCAGGATCTCCTATCTTCCTTCTCTACAAACAGTTCCATCCAAACTGGACTATGATCGGACAATGTCCTAGGAAAAATTTTTACATTCTTCACCCTGTTGTATAAATCTGTTGTGATCAAAAAGAAATCAATTCTTGAGAAAGATTGGTGTCTATCTGAGAAAAACGTAAAATCCTTTTCTTCTTGATTACGTTCACGCCAATAGTCTCTCAATTCCCAATCTTCTTTCATGTCAAAAAAGGCTTTAGGTAATTTAGCCTGTTTAAAAAAGGTAGAAGAGCCTTTTTTGTCCATTTGTATATCTAAGACACCATTCCAGTCTCCCATTAAAATCACGGATCTATAGTCCAACAAAGTTATTTTCTGATGTAGTAACCTATAAAATTGCTCCTGTTGCTGGTTTGGTGCATACAACCCCACAATAAGAATTTTCTTGCCATATAAACCAAGTTCAAGCATAACATATCTTCCATAAGGATCTGATTCTAACAAGGTAGCAGATAAATTCTGTTTAACATAGATTACCACACCCCCTTTCTTCCCAGGGGCGGGAGATACAAAATGAGATCCCAAGCGAGGATTATTTAAATATTTTTGATCTTTAGCTGTAATATGAGTTTCTTGCAAGCAAATAATATCATTGTTGTGTTGTTTCAAATAGTGGTAAATTTTTTTTCTCTTTTGAGGAATGTTTAATCCATTAACATTCCAGGACAGGAGCTTTGCCATCTCCCTTGGCCTTCAGCCTGGAGAAGATCCGCTCAAATTCTGCTGCTGATGAATATGTAGCAGAGCTTTTGGGTCTTGCTCCTCCCACCGGCACTGAAGCAATTTGCTGAGTAGATTCTTCAATTTCTTTTTCTTTTTCTTTTTTCTGTTGTTCTTTTTCTTTACGTTTATGTGCTGCACGGGTCATTCTCTGTTCTTTAACCTCTGGTTGAGACATCCATACCACCTGTCCAGCAGTCATCATCCCTGTACCTTCAGATTTCTGTTCCATCTCTTTGTCACTCAAGACTTTATGCATCATGGGCAAAGGAGAGCCTGCTCCCAGGACCGTTTTATAAAATTCCTTAGCTTTAGCAACTGTATTAAGTCTATAACGTGTCCCCGCATGGCTCAAAACAATGCCCATCGGAATCTCCCATCTAAATGGCATTTGTCTTGCTTTAAGTTCATTTACTAAAAAAGCAAAATCTTTTCTGCTTCTTAAAATTTTAGGTGGAATTTCCTTTAAAATAATAATATCTTGGGCAGCAATCTGAAATCTTTTATTATAAAAAGTTTGTAGAATCTGATTTCGCAAAGACTTCTTAGCAAAATATATCACCACATCTCTAGGCAAATTCCTCTGTTTTGCAATCCAAGAATTAACTCTATAAATTCTTTCCACATCCCCACGTAACTCTTCTTTATCAATATTCAAAATAACAGCCAAGTCATTAATCACCATTTCCATCAAATCTTGAGTTTTATCTTCTTTCAGACCCCTTATTCTCAAAGCATATTCCATCTGTCTATACTGGAACATAAGAATATCATCTTGTGAAGTCTCCACTTTTTTCTCCATATCTTGAAATTTATAATCCAAAAGTTCAACTGTTTCTTCAATTTCCTCTACTCTGGAGTCCAGCTTCACAACCACTGAGGCCATTCCAGATAGAGCTAGAAGTATATCATCCCTCAAAATAGCATTATTCTGTTCTAAAAGCTCCTTCATCTCTTTCTTCATTTCCTCCTTAGTTTCAGATTTATTCTGATCCAAAAGTTGTTTCATTTCCTCCCTAAACTGTGAGACAGCACTTACCATTATTTCTTTAATGTCTTGTGCTGATGTGCCAGATGGGGGAGGTGAAGGTGGAGTAGATTTAGGTTGCTGCACTGAGGGTATTATTTTAAGTTGTTGTTGCACAGTAGAAGTAGCAGGAGAAGAAGTTACTTTAGAAGCTGCAGTAGCTGGTTGTCGTTTTGAAGCCATTTTAATTTATCTTCCTTTCTTCTTAAAAATACCAATAAAAATAAGTAATCCAAAAAAAAATTAAAAATAAGATAAAATAGAATAAGATAAGATCAATCTAAAAGTCCCCAAGAATAAAAAAGTAAAAAAAGTAAAAAAAAAGCAATATTAAACAACAATTCAGCCGATCCGTCTTTTAAAGGAAAAAAAAACTTTCAAAACGCCATTTTACTTTCACTCTCACTTTTCCGCCCAAAAAAAAAAGAGAAAGCTCAAAAAAATAAAAAAAAAATCAGCAGATACTAAATAAACTAAATAAACTAAAAAAAATAAAATAAAGCTAAACTATAAATAAAATCCTTTAAACAGTTCTGTCCGGTTTAAGATTACTCACGGTTTCTTTAAGTACGGAGATGGTAGCGGCGTCTCGCTTTGTTTCCGAAGAAACAAAGACAGCTGAGAGGCGGAGAAGGCAATGAACTCCGAGGGAACCCTCTTTCTACCCCCCTAAAAATAAAAATCCAGGGAGAGTTAAGAGGTTCTACCTCTATTCATGCGATCTCTACCCCTTCCCTTCGCCCGGGAAGGGGATTGCGAGCCGCGGGCCAGCTGATAAACGCTGTGCTCCGCGGATCTGACACCTTCTCAGGAGGACGGCTACAAAGTAGCCGCCATCTCCACCGCTTTGACCACCGGAAGTCCGCTCACCATGTATTTTTTCAGATCTGTGACTGTAGGACGTCCTTCCCCAGCTTGGCAAGTTTTTAGCCCACTAGGTGAAGATTATGTATGCAGTAACAAAGCACATCAAGAGAGCCTCCAGAGGTTGGGGAAGGCAGATCTCAGTGCCATAGAGATCCACCTTCCATGAGGCAGTCAAAATCCTAAAAAAAGATTTCATTCATCAGATCCATCTTTGAGTAGCCTTTAGATATAATTGCTCATTCCCCAAAACTATAACAATGCAATGACACACATATCAATTTTTCCCTTTGTCTATGTATTAGAGCAGGAAAAGTGCCTCCAAGCTCAGACAAACTTGCTGCCTGAGCCAGACAATTTACCTATGAAACAGGATGTTCTTGGAAGTTTCTGGGGAGTTTTTTGATTCTGGCAGCAGCACAGCAATAGTCACTTCCTTAATCGCCACCTGCGCAGCTGGGGATAATTTTCTCATGCCCACCTCCTTAGCCAGAGGCACACTCCCACTCACCCACATTCAGTGGCCAGCAGAGTCAACCAATGCTATTCATCATTTGAGGGACCCTTCTGGACCAATAGGCAGTGATGGTCTGTTATTTTAATAAACATAGCTTAGATACAGGGAGTAATCTCATAATCCCTTCTTAGCTGTCAGGCAGAGAGAGAGTTCCAAGAGGCAAAAAGGTAAAGCAACGTGTAAGTCTAAGTGTGAAGAAAGAGGCAGCTATGTAACTATCTATTTTTTTCTCTCTACATGTTAAGTAGCTTTAAAGTTGCCTAATAGCTAGTAAAATTACTTAACCATCGAACAGTTTTTTTTTCAAATGTGCCAACTTTAAAGTATGTGTACTTCAGCTCCCAGCATATTGGCTGGGAAATTCTAGAAGTTGATGTCCACATATCATAAAGTTGGCAAGTTTGAAAAACACTGACCTAATCTAACCCATGAGGGTGCATATTTCTCTGAGGTTGTACTCCCCAAACTAACCAAAATTAAATTTCATCACATTTCATTTCCACATCTAATGTAATTGAAATGAATTTTAAGTAATGTGGTGAATCTCTAGTTACATATTCCCCTTAAGTGATATTAAAAATGCAATTTAATAAATCTGGAGATTTCAATAGCATACCAAAAGGTTTGGCAGATTCTCTACAGCCCTACACTCTTCTTTTTTGCCCTTTCACCAACTGTCCAGGACTTCTTTATATACCTGCCCCCTTGTTCCTTTTGACCTGGTAACAATTGGGACAGCAACTGGGACCGTATGTGCAACAGATGTTCTCTCTCGTGAAATGATACCTGAGTACCAAGGGAGAAAACCATGTTTTCTTACAGAATTGGAATCTCTGAGTGCAAAATTGTTTCAAGAGTTCAATTAGGGAGAACTGGTAGAAGGAACACACTGACTTTATTTGTGATTCCACTTTCATGCTTGAAATGTAAAGCTATTATAAGAGGGAGGCTGGCCTTTGAAGCCAATAATACAGAATGAGAATATCTAATACCTTCCAGTCTATTGGACTACAATTCCAACTTGGCTGTTGAGCTCTAATGTGACCTTCTCAAGTAGCCAACTGCTCACAGATGATGAGTTGTTTCTAGAATTGATATACTTCTTTTCCCTTACAGGTGTAGTGAGTGCAAGACTGTCTTCCACAACAGTTGTCAGGCAAATGCCAATTTCTGTCCTCGTTGTGTCCGCCGGCAGAAATATCAGGAACTGCAAGAATTCCTTTGGAAATGATCTCAACCGTGCCAGTCCTTTGGATCAGATTCTGGAATTGGATAAAAATTCTGGAATTGTCCAGAAGGCAATTGGGAAACAGAAGCTTAGGAGCAATAGAAGGCCATTGCCAGCTGCACACTTTTTGTCCGGATTACAGTCCTACAACAACCAGTGCACCTTGCCATCAGCTCTTGGAAAGGAGCCCACAGAGATACTTCTTTGAATTCACTCATTATTGCCATTAATTTTCATGCATTCCTGCCTTCCCAGGCAAATTTATCCTTATCCTGACATTTGGTGAATACTGGATATATTAAAGGGATATGTAGCAAGAACTCCTAAAAAGACTGAAATTAATGCATGTGTCTTGATTTAAATTGCCAGAGAAAAGGAATTTTATTTTACCTTTAACAAATGCACTTTCCAGCAGATTTCTCGTGCCTTCTACACTTTGCAGACTACTCTTAAAATGTCTTGTGCCAAAATAGCTGCTGAATTCTTTAGAAAGGCACTCCATCTTTGGTGTCCTACTCAAGCAAAGTGACCAAGTGTATTCCAACCTTGATTTTAATATTTTCTTTTATTCTCCTATGCAGATAATTAGCTTTATTTAATAAACAGATGTCTTTTATGAATTCATTACTTCTATACAGCAGCTTATTTATAAAGTGACTATAGGCTTCTTGTGGGTTTATGTTCAAACGGAGATCAGTAACATTCTGTATTCAGGAATATGTGCCACAGAGAACCTTAATAATACTAAGGGGAAAAGGTTGGAGCCTGGATGCTGGAAGAAACTGGATTCATTCATTCATTCATTCATTCAATTTGTACAACTGTACTTCTCAGTAAGTGGGCAGTGGACAAATTTAAAATACTTCAAATACCAACAATTGCAGGAATACAAAAATTAAAATATATAATAGCAGTTGAGAAATATATCCTATAATCGCTAGGACAACCAAAAAACAGGTCTTTACACATGCTGGGCCCCAGGTAGATGATGATGTTACAGCTGGAATATGGAGGACTTGCCTTTCTTAGAGGGTATTGTAGTAAAAAGATTGGTCTAAGGCAGTGGTTCTCAACCTTTTTAATGCCGCGACCCCCAACCGGTCATAAGTCAAGGACTACTCAACCGGTCGTAAGTCGAGGACTACTCAACTGGTGCAGCACCGTTTGCAGAATGGGACTTTTGGCGGGCTCAGCAGGGCAGAGACAGCCTGGACAATTCCTATTGGCTTTTGAAAGCCAATAGAATTAGACTCTATTCAAGAGAATCTATTCTATTGGCTTTCAAAAGCCAAGAGAATAAAAGGAAGTAGCACAGCTAAGGAAAAGGGGGAAAAAAATGGCGGACTGCGTTGTTTGGCGACCCCCGTGAAATGGTCGTTAGACCCCAATTGAGGTCCCGACCCACAGTTGAGAACCACTGGTCTAAGGTTTCCAGAGGAGTAGGGCACATATTTTGCTTCTTAAAATCTATGAAACTGGAAGAACTTGGAATATTGGTCATGTCCATTCCAAGGATTCTCTAAGTCCAACAAAAGTACAGGACCAAACTGATTAAATAAAAATGAAGATTCACAATGATGTAATTACATCACCACATATTTGAAGTATGATTACATATTTCATCAGCATAGTTAACATGCATCATTGGACATACCAACATTTCTGCTCCCTCCTCCATGATCACCCATTTATTTTAAAAGGATTTTTCTTTTGTATTTCTACAAACTTCCTTTATTCCATAGAGCAAAGCTCATAATATAGCTTCAGTCATGAAGCAGAAGAAATACCATGTGATACATGGTATTAGTTGGGGTTCCAGTTCAGCATCTGTCAACATCTTGCTTTGGGGAGTACAATTTTCTCAAGGATCCTGTCAACTATCCAATTGGTATTTCCAGAAAAAAAAAATCCTGGGATATGATTTTACCAAAAGTATAATACTTTACTGAAAATCTACATTGGCACAGAAAAAGCAAAACCAGCTCTGATTTTCCCACTCAAAGGCCTGCTTAGTTAAACAATAGACTCCCTTATTCCCACCCACCGGATGTTCACATTGTCCAATAGTAACGTTTCTTCTTGTGATGGAAATAGTCCACTTCTCCATCAAGCACCTGCATTACTGAAGCCTCGGTTGCCTAGATACCACTCCTCCCCATTTTGCGTTCCATCTCATTGTCAAGATACGAGCAAAGTGAGAAAATGTAGGTGAAAGGGCAAATCTGTCTTGACATACCAACCCCCCTGGAAAAAAGGCAGACCTGGAACAACGATAAATATATATACACATTATTATGTACAACCCAATTACTGCTTTATCCCTTAATGGGGCTGTTGAGAATACCTAATATGAAATTTCTTAACTAACCTCACTGTCCACCCACTCAGTATTTGCTAATGGATGGCTTTTCCACAGTACTAGATACTGTAATTTTATCTTGTAATATCTGAAGTCAAGAATTTTTTTGATCTTGTAGTGTTCCTCTCCCTTTACTAAGATGAGAGGAGGACATGGTTCTTTGACTGGTCTCAAACCAGATCCCTGAAAAAGTTTTAAAAGGCTGCAATGAAATACTGGATGAACTTGCCTGAGGCTTCTAGGAAACTTCAGCTCCACCATCACCAGATTTACAATCTGGACGATGTGGAAAGGCCCTATGTATTTGGGACCTAACTTTTGCCTCTCTACCTAAAGAGCAAGACTGATGGGAATATGTCATTCTTAGAAGAAAACAACCAAGAGCAAAGCCCCTACTATCTACCCTAACCCACTCAAATGAAGCCCTTCTGGAACTGAATGTTCACTTTCATAGTATCTTCCCAGAAGAAAATATACAGACACAACAGAGCATTCATCAATAGTTTCTTAAAAAGAAGCACAACCCAGCATTCCTGTGACAAGAAAAGTATTCCAGACTCCTCTCTAAAAAAAAAAAGGCGAATATTAGCGATATGAGATTCATAGGGGAACAGAAAAGGTCAGTCAATCTAGGCAGGTATAGCAAAAATCAAAGATGTAACTGATTACCTTACTAAAATAATCAACCTCATGGATAAATACCTCTTTCTTCTCCTACACGTGGGGACCAATGACACAACAATAAATCTTAAAACAATAGCAAGAGATTATGAACAGCTAGGGAAGAAAGTTAAAGATTTAAGAGCACAAATGGTGTTTTCATCTATACTTCCAACAAAAGGCCAACATCCAATGAGGGAGCAAAGAATTTTAGAAACAAACCACTGGCTTAAAAACTGGTGTTGTCAACAGAACTTTGTCTTCCTAGACCATGGCCTGCATTACCTAGATCAGGGGTCGGCAACGTGAAACGGTGAAAGAGCCACTTGGACCCATTTCCCTCACAAAAGAAAAAACTAGGAGCCGCAAAATGTGCGCATGCACGTAATGGGGCTTGATTAAAGAGTGGAGCCTAAGCAACACATCCACTGGCCCTGCCCCCATCCAGCTTCTCTTTCTCTCAGAAAAGACTGCTATCCGCCTGCCCCGCACTCTCCCTCTTTTGCTGAAGCAGCGAGCAGGAGGCCAGCCTTCAGCATGGCGGGCCTGCTGGAGGCTGAGGCCCCTGAAGGCATGGACCGGGCTATCTTCCATAGCGGTGGGATGGCGACTGCAGGAGCAACAGCCTGCTCATCTCCAGTGGTGGCGGCCACTACGGAGCCATCTGGTGGCTATTAATCCAGCAACCAGGCAGCAGTTGGGCGATCGGTTGGGCAAAACAGGTGGATAGGATTGCAGCCAATGATAGTAGGATGTTAGAGCTGCCAACTCTGGTCTCCACCTGGGTGGGCGGGCAAACGAAACCCTGAAACCTTTTGCGTTTGTTTGCAAAGAGAAGACGCCGGTGGCGCACGGCCCGGACTGTCAGCATTGCCATGGGACCACTTCCTGCGGTGCCAGCTAAAGCGGTGTGCTTCTCTTTGCAAACAAACACGAAAGGTTTTGGGTTTTTGCTTGCCCGCCCACCTGGGTGGAGACCCTGCGCCACCCCTTCTCCTGCAGCCAGGGAAAGAGGGCCAGCCCCAAGAGTGTCCTGGAGGACTTTTAAGGCTCTGAATACCCCCCACACCCTCCCCCATCAGCCCAGGCACTGTGGCTCCACAGCAGGAGGGAACCCTCCAGATCTTCAGTACTCCTGGCAGCAAAAGCGGCAGTGGGAGGATTGTGACTTACTTCAAGGAGCCTGATCGACTCACCCTTATGACCGATGCCAGCCTGTTCGGCTGGGGAGCACTTCTTTGCTCACAGTGGGCCCAGGGCTGTTGGTCCCACTCCAACCTTCGGCACGATATCAACTGGCTGGAGCTCAGGGCAGTACACCTCGCCTGCACCACTTTTGCAGCACAGTAGTGAAGCGTCATGTGTTGGTTCTCATGGACAATGTGGCTCCAAGGCACATGTGAACCTGATCTTGTGCACTCTTGACCAAGGGGGCACCTGATCTTGTGCACTCTTGACCAAGGCACTCCTGCAGGGTCCTGGGCAGAGGCCAACCTGGCCTCCATCAAGGCCGACCACATTTCAGGGGAGGCAAACACTCAGGCTGACTTCCTGAGCTGGGCGATGGTGGACCATTCAGAATGGCGCCTACACCCGAGGATATTCAGGGAGATCTGCCACCGCTTCGGGTTGCCAGTTCTAGACCTCTTTGTCTCCCCAACAAATGCTCATCTATGGCGATTCTTCTCCTGCTTTCCGTCTCCAGGGGCTGAATGAGCGGATGCTTTTCGGAGCCCATGGCCGAAGGGACTGCTTTATGCCTTCCCGCCTCTTCCTCTTCTTCCGGCGGTTGTCTGCAAGCTTCTTCAGGAGCAGGCAGAGGTTCTTCTAGTGGCCTCGTATTGGCCACGGAGACCATGGTTTGCCAACCTAGTGAACCTCTCTTTAGGGGCCCCATGGAGGATTCCCCCAGAGCAGGTCTCACTCAGCCAGGGGACCCTCCTTCATCCAGACCCCCAATGACTCCAGTTAGCCGTCTGGCACTTGAGTGCTCGATCCTGTCACAGGAGTCCTGCCCACCTGGGATCATTACCATAATCCAGGCCTCCCGCCGGTCCTCTACCAACCGGATTTATGAGGCAACGTGGAGGAACTTCTGTTTGTGGTGCTCAACTCACCACTTGACCAGTCCAGACTTGATAATTCCACACATATTGGATTACCTTCTACAGGGCCTTGAGAGGGGCTTGGCCCCAAACACATTATGCAGACAGGTTGCTGCTCTCTCCACTGTACTTACCTGTGACTCAGCAGTTTCCCTAGGTCATCATCCCTTGATCCGATCTTTTATCAAGGGGGCTACTAACCTCAAGCCCCCTGTAGTGCACAGGTTTCCATCTTGGAACCTACCGCGAGTCCTCTGGGCTCTAACCAGACCGCCCTTTGAGCCCCTCAAGACATGTGATATACGGTATGTATCACACAAGGTCGCATTCCTGGTGGCAATCACTTCTGCACAATGGATATTGGAACTGGTGGCACTCTCAGTTAGGGATGACTTGTGCCTCTTTCATCAGGACCAAGTGGTCCTTCGTCTGGATGCTACCTTCCTCCCAAAGGTCAATTCTCTCTTCCACAGGGCTCAAGAAATCATACTGCTGGACTT